CTATACTATACTATACTATACTATACTATACTATACTATACTATACTATACTATACTATACTATACTATACTATACTATACTATACTATACTATACTATACTATACTATACTATACTATACTATACTATACTATACTATACTATACTATACTATACTATACTATACTATACTATACTATACTATACTATACTATACTATACTATACTATACTATACTATACTATACTATACTATACTAGTAAAGCGATATAGTATAACATATGCAGAGGAGATATGTCTGTGTAAGGATTAGAGTGGAGTTAACTCACATGTCCATTATACAATATACATATTTCCCATTACACAACCAGCCTCCATACTTGATATACAGATGTCACTTACTATAACAAGATTGCTACTAAAACACATTACAGCAGGACAGATGGGACAAATTTGTTTCATATATAATGCTATTATGGTTATATTAGCATAAAATTCCTCAGTGCTGTTGCATTCATTTATAAGATTGGGGTGTTAAATGAGAGCAAAAGTGAGTAGAGAACATTTCAGGTTCAGTGACTTTGTCTTTTGTGTGCCTTTCTTTTGTGTACCTTCCATTCTCCAGTTTTTCCTGTAGAATGGAAACTTTGAGTCTTTTAACCATAGAAATAGAGTTCAAGAAAACAGTGCGTTGAATCCAATAGGAAATCATTATACAATCCACATATATATGATGATCCATCATAAATTTTGCTAGCAAATTCAGATGCCTGTAGCTTTATTAGGGGTTGCTTATATAATGTGTTATTTGCAGAATAAAATTTGCTAATTGTTTACTATTCTAACAGTGAGAATTTTGAAGGCAAACATTAATGTCTCAGGAAGGCAGATTCTTAAAATAAAATCCACCCAACTGTTCAAGATAATCTTAGAAATAAAATGAACAAATATAAAAAGTGATAAGAACCAAAATTAGAAAGATGTGTCTTTTGATTTTATGGTGCATCACATAATTTCACTAAGAAAAAAGTGGATGGGAAAATAATTTCTTAGAAAGTGTAATAAGAAAGCTCCACCCTTTCCAACCCCAATCTGCATGTTAATATTTCAGCATTTAAACTTTTAAGTGTAATTAGCAATAGTGGAATATCATGCTCTTCTGAAGAGGCAGGTGTTCTTATTAGCATCTCCCAAATGTGTATTAAAATAAATTCCCATTTGCATTTCAGCTGGGGAACACACACAGCTCTATGTTGGAAGATTAATGATGGTAATATGAATTAACCACTGGCATACTTACAATTACATTTCTTCTGTACAAATCTAAGCTTGCAAGCAGTTCTGTAGGTGGATAAACGGATGCGATCCAGATCTTGAGCTCCTAATAGCAGAAAATAATAGTCTATGATGTTTGCAGTTTATGCATATACCTCACATATAAAAGGGAGAGCACAAAGAAATGCTCACTTGAACATTTTCAAGGTTGTCTTTTCTAGCTAGAGAGAATGGAGAGACAGCAAAGTTAAAAATAGTTTAGCAAACAAATAGACTAAGCTATCTGTCACGCTGAAAAACAATCTAATCAAACCACAAGCTAAAAGACAAAATGGCTGAACTCCAATACCAAGAGAAACTCAGTTTAATTTTAATATTTAAACTCAAAAGTGTACAATAAATATCCTTGACTGATTAGGTGATCAGAATTAGGTACTGTTATATATTCAAACAACAAATTTATTTCAGATATAAGTCTGCTAATAGAAAAAAAATACAAAATAAACAAGAGTGTTGGGGTATAAAGTGGCAGCTGTTGCAAGAAGTCAATAAAAGCATCCTAATTTATTGCTCTGCAACTTGGCCTATTAAGGCTTTTGGCATTCCTAGGGAGCAATCCTAATCAAGTCTATTTGGCAGTAAGTCCCATTTTATTGAAATGGACTTCTTTTAAAGTATTGTAGGATTGCAGCCATAGGGCCGAACTCGACATGATGGCAGCCATGGGGCCAAACTAGGGTTGCCAAATGTGCCCGGGGGGCGGGGAGTCCCCCGCTTCAGAGCCCCGATTTCCGCCCCGGCGGAATCGGGGCCCGGGGGGGACCCCGCCCCCGAAGCTGCGTCACCGGTGGTGACGCAGCCACGGTGCTGACGTTGGGGGTGTGGCTGAGCTCATTGGGGGGGAAAACCATGTTTCTCTCCGACGGGCTCAGCCCCGCCCCCAACTCCACCAACGTCTGACGTCACTTCCGGTGACGTCGCGAAGGCACACACGCCCCCAGCCTGCTCCCGGACGGGACGGAGCCTCCCCTGCCGGTGAGTTTAAAAGATTTGGCAACCCTAGGCCAAACCGTGGCCACCAACACCATTTTAGAGAAAAATTGAGGCATTTTAAAGTTGTTGTAGCACAGTGGCAACAGGCAATCTTGTTCTCCCCAAACTTTTTAAAGTGTTGAAATCAGATGTGGCACTTTTAAAATGGCTAAATTTGTGTCTAAAATGGTGTTGGTGGCCACGAGCTGCCATCACATCTAGTTTGGCCCTTAAAGTAGCTACCTCTGGTCATGCTCTAATAATTAACTTCCATAATAATTAGAAATTTTCAAAAATTTCTTCTGTCCTGCTACTAAATTATAAATGTGTGACTGACTACTCATATTTTTATATGCAAATTAAGCACTTAAAGTTTATAGCAGGCATTATGACTATATTCATTTGCCTCATCAAACCCATCTGTGGTGATGGACACAAACATGAACACAGATCCACAATTTGTGGAAAACAAACAAATTCCCAATTTGTCCATGCATTGACATTTGGACATGGCAAACTGGAACATGATTCATGAATTCTGAACTCTGGAAGCCTTCTTCTGTGCTTCAAATGTGAGAAGAGGAGAGAGGAAGTGAGCACAGCAACAGTTGGGTTTGTGCACATCATGAAGTGGTTTGTGGCAGCTGGATGCAGCTGCAGTTTTCTTTCCTTACAAGCTTAGCCTAACTGGCAATCATGGATCAAACTAGATATGATGGTGGCACATGGATATGCCTGAATCACAGAGAAAAAGGCACAAAGAAAGGGCATTCCAATTTTAGCAGTAAATGGGGCATGCAAATGAGTGATACTGAACGTCCCAGCCAAAGTAACTTTCTACTGTAGGAGCTTGGCTGGCAATACAGTATTGAGGGAGAGAAGCTGCAAGGAGATAAACAATAAGCAGGGGTAGTGGGAGGGGAGAGTTCTGTAGACCTTACATAAATGTCCGGTTGGTTGCTAAATTAGACCCTTGCCCATTCTAAGCAATTGGGTCAGTTCAATAGTTAAACAAATGGAAGTGCTTCCATCTCATCTAGTTGACTCATGATATATTCCCCAAATGCCTTTACATGTTATTCTGTATGTGTGTACACATGTATGTATGCACTTACACAAAAACCCAGGACATAATAATAAACAAATGGTAGATGTTAGACAAATCATAGAGGTGCAGACTGTTGTTCATGTAAGTAGTCCCCAGCCTTTCTCTCACAAGATCGTTTACCCTTACAGACTAAGAATTTCTGCCTTTCTTTGGTGATGTTGCAGAGCTCTTGGAATTCAGTGGGCCAAGCTGTTTCTCTCATAGCAAATGACTATTAAGTCAGGGGTGTCAAACATAGAGCCCAGGGGCCAGAAATGGCCCATCCAGGGCTCTTATCTGGCCCACAAGCAACTGGTGCAAGAGAAAACCTAGCCTTGCATATGATTAAATACATTTATTGGAGCTTTTAAGGATTCCCCAGTAAATCAATTGCTTTCACTCCTGGGAATCAATTGCTTTTGTTTGTATTTTGAGTAAAAAATAATATTGTTAATTGGGTTTGCCTGTGTCCTTTATAAAGTTTATAACTCCTGTACTTGGCATTACATTTTATGGTACACATGGCCCAGCCCAACAAAGCGACATTCATGTCAGATCTGGCCCTTGTAACAAATGAGTTTGACACCTCTGTATTAAGTGATGCATCTCATGTCTTTTTTTTTTTAAACACCTGTTCTTTTAAAGTGATACATTTTCTCATAAACCATTGTTTTAAAGTAAGGATAGGTTTTAGTACAGGACTATACTTGCATTGTTTATTCTCAATCCTCTGCAAAGCAGAGCTGCTCAAAAATTCTTCTGGCAATGGACTCCATTTCAAACCAGATAATCATCCAGGGCATCGTGAACCCTCATTCCATGCCACTGACAGTAACACAGCTGCATTCCTGACTTGATCGTGCTTACAGACATCAGATTGCATCCTCTTACACAGGGTATTCATTGGGTCTTGAATAATAAGGGCAAAGTAATATGGATTAAGTGATCTACGGTATGTGTTCAAAATATCACCCAGTGAGGATTATGAGTCTCAGAAGAAACTTGAAGAGAGTCCTTTGGAAAGCAGTTCAGCAATGTGATGGAGTAAGTACCTCTATTCTGAAAGAAGGGATGGGGGGGGGGGAATCCCATCTCCTGCTTTTTTCTTTTCTTTTCACAGGGGGAGCAAGTAAAATGTCACATACATTTCTGATGTTTTCAAAATAACAGCAGCTCCCATATAGATAGCAGACTAGGAGATATCTGTAACTGTCAGATAAAACTCCCAGTGTGACTTCTGATGTGAAAACAAACAAACAACCACCACAAAAGAGTAAATCTGACAAAGCCATGTTCATACAAATGGTTGTTTTTGTTTATTGGTCCTTTTGACATGGTTACTCCTTACTCCTGTAAGGTTTTCATCAGGGGGATGAAGTCAAGAGGGAACAGAAGGACTGAATCCAGGGGTATGTATACATGTTGCTGTCCCTGAATTGTTTGAATAATCTCTCTAGGAAAACATGGTGTGGAAGCACCTAACAGAGAAGGGAGAAAGATATCTTGCTGTGCTTGTGTGAGGAAGGAGCCAATAAAAGACAGACAAAAAGTATTTTTTCTTTCTTACAGCTAAAGGGATTAGAGTGGGGGTGTAGTATCCTTATTGATCGGATGCTACCTCAGGGCCTCTTTTCCTCATATAAACACACAGACAAACAGATAATGATGCGATAGTTTTTCTTTTACCTTATAATATCTTGTGATACTTCAAAAAGACTTATGCAGATAGATGGTGATTGGTCAACAGATTTCAGTATCAGAACCACTGCTTTAAAAACTGCAGTGATTATTTTCTGATGCTCTGTTAAATAAGACTGTATTACATGAATTTTTGCATTTTTCTTAAATTAGGACTCCAGCATGCATGTCAGTCAGCTGTATTGCTGAATGAGAGAGCAGCTTTAAACAAATCCTTGCTTCTGTGGGCATATACCAAGCATCCGAAAGAAGTATCAGTTATGCTTTGGTCCTCAGTGAATGTAGGTTTTTCATTATTCATATTTTGGCTACAACTTGCCATTCTTTTCACAAAATACTTCCAACCTACCTAGTTTCTGATGAGAAACAAATAGCAAGCAACTGAAATAGCAAGCAACTGAATATGCTGGTTTTTAACTTGCTGAAATTGTGTTTTAGCATTTGCAAGATTATTTTTAAAAAATCACTTTCGTATGCCATAATAATTTACAGTTTGCAGACGTACTAAAGCAATATACTGTAAGAGCTGGCTAGCATTTTCATATTCAGCAGAACCACATTTCTACTCGATAGCATATGCCAGCAGCTGAATGTGGGTACATTCACTTTTTAACATATGTATGTAATCAGACAGTATCTCCCTCCCTGTTGGCATCACTAAAGGTGCCAACTCAAAGGAATGTATTATATTTATTACGTTTGTGCCCTTTGAATTTCAAAAGTGAAGTGGAATCTTATTTTTGTACAACAAATGAAAATGATATATAAAATCTATGAGATTATTGTTGACAAACTGAGAGGAAAGGTTTAAGCAAACAATGAACTCTCATATATGAACAGCAGATTTAGAAAACAAAAAGCTAGCCACCCTAGGTTATTTGTTCTATTGCCCCTAGGTCCTGATATTCTAGTGCATCCTGAGCACCCTCTGCTGAAGCACAGTTAGCCCCGATAAGTGATGGAAAATGTCTATCTTCATATATATTCAATTTTTTCTTTGGGGGGCAAATAGATGATATATAGTGTGTTTTGTTGAAAAGTACTGAGACTGATGAGTGATAACAGCTTTCGTACTTTATTTGGTAGATCAGGAACAAGACAATTTGCTCAGCTCACAGGACGGCTTATATGCATCAGGGAACCCACACCCCAAACACACCCCACTCCATGTATTGGCTATTTACAGTGGCCGAGAGTTCCATAGGCTCTCGGCTGGGAGCCTAGCCCCCCTATTGGTGCAGTCTAGGATCCGCAGAGTCCATTGTCTTTGGGAGTGAAGCTCGATGGCTTCTGATGACCGTGTGGAGCCCTTGCCTCGCACACGGTCTGAAATGAGTACATCACATTTGTATTACCGCTTAAAATAAAATTAGCAGAGATACATGGCTACTTTGCAGGGCAAGGAAATGGTGTTGGAGAAGAGGGATGCTTAACCCTTTCCTTCCATGCATTTCCCCAGTGTAAATCCTCCTTGGTAAACCAAAGAGCTTACCAAGAACAAGCAAACGGAAAATGGCATCCAGGTGCAATCATGTCAGCCACCCATTTCCCCATTTCTGAAGTCGAGCAGGGCTTTTAAAGAACTCCAGTCATATCAATGGGCAATTCCTTCAGAGCCATTTGGATCCATCAGCCTCTGTGGACAGACCCGCCTAACAATCACCTGTCCTTGCAGAGGTTTGGAATACCTGGTAAGTTTAAACCCTACCAGAACGCTGAAGTATCCAGACCGATGATATGCCTGTCTTTCCCCAAAGAGCTAATTGGAGAAATGCATGGGAAGAAAAGAGGATGATTTCTGCATAGAATGGATCATGGACCCATCATGGATGCCCTTTCCTATTTGTTAGAGCTTAATAAGTTCCTTGATTTACCAAGGAGTCTGAGACAATGGGCGCTTTCACACATGCTAAATAATACAATTTCAGTCCACTTCAGTGACTGTTTGCAAGTGGATTTTGCCATTTCATACAGTAAAATCCAGTTGCAAAGTGCATTGAAAATGGATTGAAAGTGCATTGTTTAGTGTGTGAAAGTGTCATATAACAGGGCACTGAGACTAGAGCACTGGAGAAGGGAAAGTGACAAATTCAATGGAATATGGGTGAGAGCTCTATTTGGTAGTGTGATGGCAGCAAAGAAAACATACTCTATGATATCTACACATTATGTACATGGAGCTGTCCCATATATTGGATACTCACCTCCAGAGGGAGCTTGAGGAATCCTAGGGTGCCCATTGTGACCCATTTGCAAAAAAAAAAAGTAGATAAAATAATTTTCATTCATTCCTAGTTGGATGCCATGTTAGCTATGGCACTGGATGTTCCTCCAGTTTCCATTTGTTATATTTATTTCATAGACTCATCGCATCATAGAGTTGGAAGGGACTGCCAGGGTCATCTAGTCCAACCCCCTGCACAATGCATGAAATTCACAAATACCTCCCCCTCCGCACCCACAGTGACCGCTGTTCCACACCCAGAAGATGACAAAAAACCTCCAGGATCTCCAGCCAAACTGGCCGGGAGAAAAACTGCTTCCTGACCCCAAAGTGGTGCTCAGCATTTCCCTGGGCATGTAAGAAGGGCCACAAGAACTAAACACTGATGCAACCCATCCTGCCCTCCCTCTCATGATCGTCTAAGTTCACAGGATCAGCACTGCTTACAGATGGCCATCTAGCTTCTGTTTAAAAACCTCCAAAGAAGGAGAGCCCATCACCTCCCGAAGAAGCCTGTTCCACTGAGGAACCACTCTGTCAGGAAGTTCTTCCTAATGTTTAACCGAAAACTCTTCTAATTTTGACCTGTTGATTCAGGGGCAACAAAAAACAACTCTACACCATCCTCTATATGACAGCCCTTCGAGTACTTGATAGTTATCATATCACCTCTCAGTGGTCTCCTCTCTAGGCTGAACATTCCCAGCTCCTTCGACCTTTCCTCATAGGACTTGGTCTCCAGACCCCTCCACCATCTTTGTTACCCTCCTCTGGACATGTTCCAGCTTGTCTATACCCTTAAATTGTGGTGCCCCAAACTGAACACAATACTCTAGGTGAGGTTTAAGCAACAAAGAGTAAAGTGATACCATCACGTCACATGATCTGGACACTATACTTCTGTTGATACAGCCCAAAAATGCATTTGCCTTTTTAGCAACTACATCACACTGCTGACTCATGTTCAGTGTATGTTCTACTAAGACACCTGGATCCTTTTTGCACATGCTACTGCCAAAACAAGTCTCCCCCCATTCTATAATTATGCATTTGACTTTCCCTATCTAAATGCAGAACTTTACATTTATCCCAATTGAAATTCATTTTATTTGTTTTAGCCCAGTCTTCCAATCTGTCAGGATCATCCTGTATCCCTGCATGCAGATGGTCCCAGGTTCAAGCCCTGACATCTCCAGTTAAAAGAAGAAGAAGAGATTGGATTTATAACCCTGCCCTTCACTACCCAAAGGTGTCTCAGAGCGGCTTACAAACTCCTTTCCCTTCCCTTCCCCACAACAGACACCCTGTGAGGTAGGCGGGGCTCAGAGAGCTCTTGACAGAAACTGCTCTTTTTCAAGAATAGCTCTTATCAGAGCTACGGCTTGCCCAAGGTGCAAGTGGAGGAGTGGGAAATCAAACCCGGTTCTCCCAGATTAGAGTCCGCGCACTTAACCACTACACCAAACTGGCTCTTGGGGTGCGATCTGTCAACCAGTTACCGATACACCTAACAGTCATAGGATCTAAAACACATTTTACCAATTTGTCAACAAGAATATTATGTAGAACCTTATCAAAAGCCTTACTGAAATCAAGATAAACTACATCTACAGCATTCCCCTGATCCAGCAAGGTAGTAACTTTCTAGCCTGACATGACTTGTTCTTGAGAAACCCATGCTGCCTCTTAGTAATCACAGCCATCCTTCCTCAATGCTCAAGGACTGTCTGTTTGATTATTTGTTCTAAAACTTTCCCAGGTATAAATGTCAAGTTGATGGGTCGGTAGTTATCTAGATCCTCCTTTCCCCCCTTCTTGAAGATGGGGACAACATTTCCCTACCTCCAATCTTCTGGAACCTCGCCTGTTTTCCAAGAATTCTCAAAAATAATGGACAGAAACTCAGAAATTACATACGCGAGTTCTTTTAGTACCTGTGGATGCAGTTCGTCTGACCCCGAGGACTTCGTTTCATTTAAAGAAACCAGGTGTTTATGTACTACCCCTATACCAATCCTAGGCTGCAACTCCCTTCCCTCATCATGTGTTCTGTTCTTGCCATGTTAAGCACTGCTCCCCTTGCAAGAGAAGACTGAGGAAAAGTAGGAATTGAACAGTTCTGTTCTCTCTTCATCACCTGTTACAATCTCACTTTCCTTTCCCTGCAATGGGCCTACCATGTCCTTGCTGCTAATAGGTGGTATATTCTGCATCCCAGTGACCTTGGGCGAGCCGTAGTTCTGATAAGAGCTGTCCTTGAAAAAGAGCCGTTTCTGTCAAGAGCTCTCTCAGCCCCACCTACCTCACAGGGTGTCTGTTGTGGGGAGGGGAAGGGAAAGGAGATTGTAAGCCACTCTGAGACACCTTTAGGTAGTGAAGGGTGGGGTATAAATCCAATCTCTTCTCTTCTTCTCTCAGCATTCTAATCCCTTCCCACTTGAAACTCTTCACTGGGTCCCAGCAAGGTTGTGGTAAGTTTTTGAGCAGGAAAAGGAATCAGAACGAGGATTGGCAAATCAGATTACCAACTTATTTATTTATTTATTTTATTATATTTATACCCCACCCTCCCCGCGAACGAACTTCCAACTGGGAATTGGTGTGGGCCATACAACATGGGTCCCACCTGGCTGCATATGAGGAAGAAGAAGAGCTGGTTTTATACCCCGCCGTCCAGTACCCACAGGAGCATCAGAGTGGCTTACAATCGCCGCCCTTCTTCTCCCCACAACAGATACCCTGTGAGGTAGGTGGGGCAGAGAGAGTTCTGAGAGAACTGTGACTGACCCAAGGTCACCCAGCTGGCTTCATTTGGAGGAGTGGGGAATCAAACCCGGTTCTCCAGATCAGAGTCTGCCACTCTTAACCACTGCACCAAACTGGCCATATGTTGTAGACCACAGTTGTTGAAGGATGTCTCTTTTACATATTTCTCCTCTGCACCAGTGTTAGAAACTACTAGTGTCAGCTTCCTAGGACTGGGCTTACAGGATTTCACTAAATCACAGAACTGAAGCTAAGAAATTGAAAATGGATATTTTCTCATTTTTCATTAATTTATTATTATTATGTTTATTTAGTATATTTTTATCCTGCCTTTTCTTCAAGGAGCTCAGGGTAGCATACATCACTCTCCTCTTCCATTTTATCCTTACAACAACCCTGTAAGGTAAGTTAGGTTAAGAGAGTTTAACTGGCCAAAAACCACCCTGTGAGCTTTATGGTAGGGTCTCCCAGATCCTAGTTAAACACCTTAACCACAGACATCGTATCATCTCCTTGCTAAAGCCAAGAAGACTTTAGTCTATTGTTTAGGCAGGAAAACCCTCTTACAGAATGCATTGCTCAAAAGAAGGACAGCAGACCAGGCAGTACGGAATCAGAGCACTCACAGTAAATGGAGCATGTTTAAAATGTCAAGAGATGGTGGTTTTGACCGTTCAAAGTCCTTTTATTTCTAACCAATACATTTGCATTATTTTAGATATTTTCATTATAGATCCTTAGCAGTAACTGAAATGACAGAAAACTAACTTGGGGGAAAAAAATCCAGAGCTACAAAAAAGGTAGTGTCAGGTCATTTAAGTATACTTGCAATGTGACTGCCACTATAAGCCCTCTTTAATTCCTTGTTTTGTAGACGGAAGCTACCTCTAGCCCAGGACACATTCCTATGAAATACTAACTACAAATTGCATTACATTCTTTCTTGTTTGTCTTTTCCAAGAAAGCATTAATTGGCCAAAGAAATAACAAATGCCACAGCACTTACGCATTTCTGCAAACAGCTGCCTCCTTTCTGCCATGGTAGTTCCTCTTTTCCCACAGTCTTCAATCATTCTAGGAGAAAACAAAACATATATTCAGTATCATTCACAAGTGGAATAATTTGCTAAATTGTTCCTGTCTGCTGCTTTCCCCCCTATAGCTAAGGAGCATTGGTACAATCTTCTGTTAAAAAGTCCTTTATATTTTGTACAAGAGCATTTACTTTTCTTTGCACTTTCTTCCCCAAAGAACACTGCACCGCTTGCAACTATTGCTGGAGACTTGTAAAACTCTATGCCACCACTTTATTCATGGTACTGCTCTTTTTAATCTGGAGTTCAGATTTCTCCTTCATAATAATAGTATAATAATAATAATAATAATAATAATATCTTTCGATTTATTAATCGCTCAGTCCTGCAGAGCTGCTGGCTCTGAGCGATTTACAGTTACTCATATACACACGGGACTAACAATGATTCATAGAGGGTAAGGGAGGACAACATATAAACCTTTTTAAGTCGCACACGTTTGCAGCCAACGGGGATTTTAATGTCTGCCTCAATCCTTACTTATCGCCAGTCTTTGATCAGGCCAAACTAGATATGGTTCGGGGAGTTCCATGTCCATGTTCCAACATGTGAAGGTAGGGGTACTTTCCAGTCTACACCATTTTCCTGACCTGAACATTCCTGTGTGTCAGCTATGCTGCCATGGGGGTGGGGGTGTTCTTTCAGTGTCTGTGTAAATTGTTTTTGCATTCGTGTCTCTTGCTTGGCGCAGTAATGCTTATCTCTAAAGAAGAACAGGAGGTGAGGTGTGTTGTCTCCCAACCGTGGGAGCAGAGCAATTCCCAGCTTCGCATACTAGTAACGCTTACCAGCTCTAGCCCGCGCGCGGGAGGGTGCCTAATTGGCCAGCGCAGTGGGGGTGTGTGTGCATACGAATGCCCGATATCTCATTAGGTTCAAGAGGCAATCGCTATTCTTAACAGTGAATGCATCTATGGCTCTTCAATAAAAGTATAACATTTCTATGAAGTGTATACTCCATTGTTGGCTGTGGGTTCTGACACTGTGGAGAAGTTATAACATGCAGACTCTCAGTATATTGGCTGTGCCTAGGGCTGCCTTCACACACACGAAATAATCCACTTTCAGTGCACTTTCTAACTGGATTTTACTATGTGAACAGACAAAATCCAGTTGGAAAGTGCACTGAAAGTGGATTGAAAGTGGATTATTTCGTGTGTGTGACCACAGCCTAGATCTCACTGGGGTTATTTCAAGTTGGGAAAACATTGTATGAGGGGAAGGGTGAAACGTTCTCTTTCATGCCATTGTCCCAATTTGTCTCTAAGTGGCTGTTAATAAAAAACCCCCCCCCCCCCCGGAAACCCCAAACAAAGACCTCCCAACATCTCATCTACTGTATAAGGTTAAAATTTCATGTAATTGGAAAACTCTAAAGGTTTGTCTGTTCTCTTAGTTGGTTTATTTTAACCATATAGTAATGTCAATTTACCCCACATAATTACTGCATTGCGAACATGTGCAAAATACTAATACTCTTCAGTAGCAAGCTTCCTTGCTGGAGCTGTAACACCAAAAACAAATATGGCTGGACAAAAATCATGATGTAGAAATGTGCATTCCTGATGGAAACCTGAAAAAGGGCCCACAAACAAAATACAGGATTCCTTTTTCCTGCTGACTTCTGTTCATGGTTTTGTTTCATCTCAGTAACAAATCCTTTCAGATATCCAGATCCAACCTAACATTTTCCATCTTTATGCTTCCTAGAAGCACACCTATGGAAACAAACATTATGTCATGAGTGGAGGATGTAAAATCAATTCTGGTGCAAAATGGGGAACGATTTGCTTCCTTCAGTGAAGCCATGCTTTCTTATTTCTGACCTGAATAAAGGCCGGCAAAGAGAAGGTTAAGTTCCAGTATTGGGTGAAACCCTCTTTGCAGAATTAGCAGCTTCAACTACCTCAAAGTTAATAGCCAAAATGGAAAAAGGTTATTACAGTGCCCTCCTTGCCTTAATGGATTTACAGCTGCATCATGAATCCCTTTGTCACATTTCTTCTAATGAAGTATTTCTCTAGCAGGTCTTTCTCAGCTATACGTTTCAGTACTAATCTTTTGACAGTGCCATAAAATTGCTCCCTGCTCTTTTCCGAGGCTTCCTATAATTGCAATACACTTACAATATTTGTTTGCACTCCATCTTGATGAGACACTTAGGCTTAAAAGACAAAGTGCTATCAATTCATACAAAGTGTGGTAACTTAGTACCATACTTGGCCTTGTTTTTTAACAACTACATTACAAAAATCAAATTTCATCTTGATTTATCTTTTGCTTTCAAGATGCTGTCTTAATATTGTTTTATTTATTTACTTATTTATTTATATTTATACCCTGACAACATCCTAGCATGTTCTCGGTAGAGACTGTTTTCTGGAAGTTTTTAAGCTGTAATTGAAAACACTGCCTTGACCCAAGTTTGCTATTAGTTCAGTTTCCTTTGATTTCACCATAAATGCTGAGGAGATGGTACGATATCACGCTGCAAGACTAGATAGGAACATCAGTAGAGCCCAGTCCCCACTCCCCACTGGTGGCCACAGAAGACCTGCAGCCCTGGACCAGTGGTCCATGTAGTTCAGCAACCTTTCACATGGCAGCCAACCAGTTATCCTGGAATATCTGGAGATAAGTGCAAGTTTCCAACAGAATTACCCTCTACTGTATATACAAAGTAGATGGCCCTGTGTGCATCATTAGAGGAGCTCAGCTGGGCCACTTGCAAATAAGAGACTGACTGCTGCATGTCAACTGCTGGAGCCCTCGGATATGGAGGGAAATATGGGTCAATCCTCCAAAAACAGGAAAGAAAATTCTACGCATCAGTGATTGCCCCTTGTTGCAATGGAACCCAGGCACGATGAGGGAGCAGCAACAATGCAAGTCCTCACTCTTTTCTGCAACTGTTACACTAAGGGGACGCAAGCCACTTGTTTCCCTTCACTCCACAGCCTAAACAGGAGGCTGAGACCCCCTGGGCTTGTCCCAAAACAGGAAAAGATCTGGGAATCTCCCAGACTTGGCAATGAGCTTGAGGAAAATTTATATAACAAAAAGTTGACCCCTGGCTTTGCAAGCTTCTTGAGAGCTGAAGGCTCTGAAGGTTCTGATAGAGTCTTCTGTGCTGCCTTGGAGTGTGCTCAGCTTGAAGGGATTTTGCCAAGCAGGGAGCCAGTTCCTTACTTTGCTAAAATGCAGCGAGATCCCGCCTTGTGAGGGGTAGGAGAATTTTCATCAGTGATATAGCTTGCTGCAGGTTCCATTTGTGTTCTCTATTCTCAACACACCACCAGAAATCAAGTAATGATTTAGGGGATCTTAAAACCTTCATGAGACCACTCATGTTTAATCCTTATTTCTAAATTTGTTATATTATATAATGCAGCTGTTTTTATCCTTTACGTAGTAAGTCTTCCCCTTTCTGTGCATTTCAAAATCTCATGAGCCAGCATCAATTTCCTCTTCATCTGAGTAAGAAATGCCAAGAATGCTGTTCACTGAGATGGGTTTAGAAACACAATACCGTCTAATGTGTATTTCTAATTCTGTTCTTTCCACACTCAAAATATATTTGATATTAAAGGCAATGGCATTAACCCACAACATTCCTTCTTCTCCTCTGCATGCAATGCCAATTTCACATGTTATATGTATTCAGTGTGTTTTGTATAATAGGAAAAACACATATGGTAGCACCTCCAGGCACTACATTTCCCTTGCCTCGGGGTTAATTTCATTTCATATTATTTCACTGGGTCAGAAAAACAATGACATCTACTAAAGCTCCAGGGACAGAGAGTAGGAAGTTGTAGATGAGAAGTATTATGGAGACAAAAGCCTTTTCCTCAAGAGAATGCATGCTGACTTTTGCTTTCACTCAGGTCATTTGTTTGGCTGTGCTGTGCTACAAGGCAGGCTACAGGATTTCACAAGCAATTAAGCTCCTACTTAGTAAAAAAGATCTGTTGACCTGCCTTTTGCTGGAACGATTATGAAAAGAACGCAGACGGAGAGTGATTTCAGCAAAGCGTACTTTATTTGAACAGGAACAAGACGACTTTGGCCGGCTCACAGGCCGGCTTATATCCCCTGAGAAACCGCCACCCAAAACACACCCCTACTTCCCAATAGGTTATTTACAGTGGCCGAGAGTCACATAGGCTCAGTCCTGCTGCTATGCGTCCAAATGGAACTAGAGCCGCTGACCGGGAAAAGCATTGGAGATCGAGTGTTTTAAACGGACTTTAAGTGAGATCTTATGACCAACAATGAGTTGAGTAAAAGCGAAATACTGGTAATTTAAGAAGAAAGCCCCCCCTCCCGGGAACGGCGAGAAAAGCAAGTGGGGGAGGAGCCCCTCCCACATGCATGACCTGAAAAGCGAGTTAACAAGGGGGGGGGGAGCGGAAGTTAAATCATTGAAATCTGTTTTAAGAAACTTACCAGAGCACGGATAAGCGTATGGGCAAATTTCAGAGATTTTAGCAAGTTTATACAAAAGTAAACAATCCAAAAAAATGGATGGAAACATTTGAGGAACTAAAGCTGAAGGGGTCTCATCTGTAGTCTGGTGAAGACAAGTACCGCTGTGGTGGCAGCCATCAGGCCCAAGAGCCGTTGAATCTGCTTTGCTGATGCATCTCCCTGTTTTTTTATCAGGTTGATGAGGGCGATAATGTCTCCTGCCCTTTTGGGAGGGAGAAAGGCTCAGCAGACAGTTGAATCTAAAATTGCTCGGATAAACTGGCTCAAGGAATGGAAAGAGCATTGACTTTTTCAGGTTCACCCTCAGGCCCAACGCATCTAAGGTGACCAGCGTTAGATCAATATGCTTGAGCAGAGTCTCTCTGGAGCTTGCTACCTGCAACCAATCATATATGTACAGAAAGATCCGTACACTCTGGAGACGGAGGTACGCCGCGATGACAATCATATTTTTTGTAAAGACTCTGGGTGCTGTTGAGAGTCCAAAAG